ACTCATCTGTTGAGGGCTATGGACAAAACGACAGAGAAAATGAACCAAGCAAGTAAAGAGTAGCCAACGATCCTTGTTGGCCCTACATCTTCAGGTTCCTGTATTGAGACACGAACAAGAAAGTGAATTCACCTGAGAAGTCTATATTACGAAAGTGAAGTTAACACTACTGATTGCAAAATATACCGGGCACACCAAAAATTGCAATTTCTCTGAAGAAATCGGGCATTGTTTTGATTATAAATTAACATCATGACACAAACTCGAGTCTCAGAACCGCACAGATTTGCACGGAACAACACCACTGTCAGAAGAATGTTGGAGAAGAAAGATTCGAGAGACGGAAAAAAGAAAAAGAGATTGAGGGAGGACTACGTGAATCTTCTGAAGCATTCCAATTTGCATACTCGGGGAAGTACACAGGATTGCACAAAGCAGAGTTGGAACCGTTAAAAGATGTGACAACAAAAAGATAAATAAAATAGAAGCAAAATGTATGTTGTAATCTGGTACGTATAAGCATAAGATGGGAGTTTCTGAGGGTAAAATCTCAATTTTCTTAAACCAAAGGGTAAACACCACATAAAGCAGTAAACTGCTTCGAATATTCATACGACTCAACTAAAAAAAGCAGCTTTAAAGCAAGCAGCAAACATACGTGGACATTTCCATAATGTTCGAAAACAATAGCGTTGTATAAGAAGTTTTGTGCCCTTCCTATAATGAGAATCCATAAAACAAGCCAGGACGCAGGTTCCACGATTCTCAAGGAAACAAAAAGAAAGAAAGCAGTACAATCTGAACCCAACCAAACCCGATATGAAACAGATTTGACCTGAACCCGATCTATTTAACGAACGAATAGGGTTTAGGCTGAAACATAGACGAGAATCAACTAAACCTGACTCAAAATAGGTTCAACCTGAACGCGATCTATTTAATGAGCAATTGTGTTTGGACCGATAATATAGAATATAATGAATAAAAAAAAGAATATAATCATATTTCAATAATACCCAATTGTAGTTGCATAGACCTTAGGTGTCTGATGTTGTGCGCAGCAGAACCAAAAAATTACAAACGAGATCAAAACAAGTACCACAGCAGGCAAGACACCAAATTTACATGGTTTGACAATGTGCCTACGTCCACGGGGCAAGAAGGGGATAGATCTCACTAATAGAGAGGGAGTGTACAAATAGAGATTACAATCACTCAATAATCTCACAAACAAATCACTCTTGATTTTTCCTCTACTCTCAATCTCTCTCACAAAATTGCCCAATTAAGAAACCCTAATCACTCTCTTAGTCACTCTTATTTTCTCAAGCTTCCTTTCTAAATCTCAAGTAGACTCAGAAGGCCTGATGGATGATTATGAAGTGAGAGGAGAGGGGGGATTTATAGCCTCCACCCCCCTCTCCCTTTCATGCACGTTGTCTGCAACTCCCCCTTTTGTCAAACAACGCTACACCAGCTCCCCTCTCTCTTCAATTTTGTCAAAACATGCGGCTCCCTGATAGCCTCCATATTTGACCAATAATCTCCACATCGGTGAAGTTTTCCAATAAAACTGAGCCGACACCAATACCAACCAAACGTCCCACTTGTTGCGTCCAGTACGAAGTGGAAGCAATCCACGACAACGGACTCAATCTACAATAAGTCGGGAATCCAAATGAGAACTCGAACGAACTCCACCATGTCGATATCAACTCATCAAACTGGTTGCATCAAACTGACTGCCTACGTATCTTCTTGCCCAAGGAATCAAGTCTCACGTAGTTTATCCAAATGGTCTCCAAAGGCCATTAACAACGAAGAATGTTTAATAACTCTAAACAATGACCAAATTTTACTCCTGTGATAACTTTGGTCAACATATCTGCCGGATTGTCCTTTGTGTGGATCTTCTCCAATTTAACATCTCCATTATCCAAGACGTCTCGAACAAAGTGGAATCTGATATCAATGTGCTTTGTTCGTGCATGATATACCTGGCTCTTTGCTAAATAGATAGTTGACATGTTATTCCTCTGTAGTAGAGCTGACATGTTATTCCTCTGTAGTAGAGAGAGTCGATATAGACTGAAGTATACATCTCCAACAAACTGATGCTCCTGTCAATGTAAACACATATCCTGAAGTAGACTGGCGCTTGTCAAGATCCCCTGCATAATCTGAATCCACATAACCAATACAATCTCGCTCATTCTTCTCATCCTTCTGAAAAACCAATCCAACATCCACGGTGCCTTTAACATACTGTAGAATCTACTTCACGGCATCTCAATAACCCTTTCCGGGATCGTACATGTACCTCGATACCATGCTCACGACCTGTGATAAATCTGGCCTCGTACATACTATCGCATACATCAAACTACCAACTGCATTGGCATATGGAACCTTCGACATGTATTCTATGTCCTCAACTGAAACATGTGACATATTAGCTGAAAGCTTAAAATGGGGCGCTAATGGAGTATCACCACCTTGGCATTGCCATCAAAACTGAATTTCTTTAGCATCTTCTGTAAGTAGCTCCTCAGCGTCAACTTCAACCTTCTCTTTTCTCTGTCTCTCTCAATCTCCATACCCAATATCTTCTTTGCTTTTCCAAGATCCTTCATCTCAAATTCGGATGACAGTTACTTTTTTAATTTTCTAAAAGCTGAAGTATTCCTGAAAGCAATGAGCATATCGTCAACATATAACAATAAATAAATATACTCACCATTCTGTAGCTTGTGCATATAAGCACACGGGTCATATGAGCTTCTTGTGTACTCTTGTCTGATCATAAAACTGTCAAATCTCTTGTACCATTACCGCGGTGATTGCTTCAATCCATAAAGAGACTTCTTCAGTTTGCATACTAAATCATCCTTTCCTACAACTTTAAATCTCATAGGTTGTGTCATATAGATCTCCTCTTCTAGGTCTCCATGTAGAAAGTCTGTCTTCACATCCATCTGGACCAAATCCAAATCCAGCTGTGCCACCAAAGCTAATAGTATCCTTATCGATGAATATTTCATGACCGATAAGAATACTTCATTATAATCTATGTCCTCAAGCTGGGCATACCCTTTGGCCACCAATCTAGCTTTGTATCGAATGTCTCTATTAGAAAATCCTTTTTTCTTTGCATATACCCACTTGCATCTAATAGTCTTCTTATCCTTTGGTAGCTTTGCAAGTTCCCAAGTGTCGTTCTTCTGAAGAGAGTGCATCTCCTCCTTCATAGCTTCCCTCTACCTGATTGAATCAGAACTTGACTCTACTTCCTTATATGTAGAAAAAACCAAATCATTAATGACCTTTACTAATAAAGCATATGCAATCATCACATCATTATATCTAGCTGGCCGACGAATAACCCTTCTTTGTCTATTAGCTGCAATCGACTCCTGAATATGACCCTGTTCCTGAGTCCCAACATTCACTGTATCCTCCACCTGCCCATCTGTTATCATGTCTCCTCCTAGTGTCACCTATGTAGGAGCCTCAATGGATACAATATCATTTGAAGTGTGCGGAGTCACATCATTCTCCACCTCCTGTGATATCCCGCTAGTCTGGCCTTCCTCCACCTGCTGAGGAATCTGAGACTTCATCATGTAAGCCTCATCAAACGTAACATTCCTACTAATAATCATCTTCTTATCTTGTGGATCCCACAATTTGAAGCATTTGACTTCATCTCTAAAGCCCACAAAGACTGCTTTCCTCGCCCTCAGATTTAATTTCCCATCATTCACATGATAGTAAGCTAGACACCCAAAAATCCGAATCAAATCATAATCATTAGCTACAAAACCATATCATACCTCCATAGGAGTCTTCCCATGTATCGCAGTGCATGGTAACCTATTCACGAGATGGCTCGCATAAACCAATGTCTCGGTCCAAAAGAATCTAGCCAATCTACTTTGTGAGAGCATACATCGCACCTTTTTCAGTAAGGTACGGTTTAATCTCTCGGCCACCTCGTTTTGTTACGGTATCTCCCTAACAGTGAAGTGTCGCCTAATACCGTGATCCCGACAAAACTACAGAAACGGATCTCTTGTACTCACCACCATTATCCGAACAGAGTACCTTCACCTTTCTACCTGTCTATAGCTCCACTTTCTTCTTCCACTCTACAAATATATCCAGGACCTCATATTTATACTTCATGATATATACTCAATTTCTTCTGGAATAATCATTAATGAAAGTGATAAAATAATTGGCCCCACCAAGAGATGTATTCTTGGAGGGACTCCAAACATCTGTATGAACGTAATCTAAAATACCTTGGGTGTTATGAATTGTGGTGCCGAATTTTACCTTCGTCTTCTTCCTAAGTATGCAATGTTCACACAACTCCATCTTACAGGTCTTTGCACCTTTCAGCAGCCCCTGTTTCACACAGCTCCATTATTGGTCAAATATGGAGGCTTTCAGGGAGCCGCATGTTTTGACAAAATTGAAGAGAGAGGGGAGCTGGTGCAGCCTTGTTTAACAAAGGGGGGAGCTGCAGACAACGTGCGTGAAAGGGAGGGGGATGGAGGTTATAAATCCCCCCTCTCCTCTCACTTCATAATCATTCATCAGAGCTTCTGAGTCTACTTGAGATTTAGAAAGGAAGCTTGAGAAAACAGGAGTGATTAAGAGAGTGATTAGGGTTTCTTAATTGGGCAAATTTGTGAAAGAGATTGAGAGTAGAGGAAAAATCAAGAGTGATTTGTTTGTGAGATTATTGAGTGATTGTAATCTTTATTTGTACTCTCCCTCTCTATTAGTGAGATCTATCCCCTCATTGCCTCGTGGACGTAGGCACATTGCCAAACCACGTAAATTTGGTGTCTTGCCTGTTGTGGTACTTGTTTTGATTTCGTTTGTGATTTTTTGGTTCCGCTACGCACAACATTTGATAGTATGCTAGTAACTATAATAGACATATATACCTCTGGTGGTGGAGATCCTGTTGGTGTTTGCGTTATGTCAACTTCAAAAGGCCACATATATCTATCTGGCATGTCACTTCTGGCCAAACTCCAATCATATAATCTTCTTTCATCTTCAGACGATAGAATTTCATAAGATTCCTATGAATGAAAAAGTAAATAAGGAGCGCTAAACATGAGAATACTCTTAAGAAAAGAAAAGCAGCTCAAGACAAACCTTAAGAAGTTCCAGCTGTTCGCTGACTTCCTCTCCATCCGAATCCTGGCTCCTCAATTCTTCACACTTCTTTTCATAAGCGGATGAAACCTGATGTGCATGTCAAGCCACTCAGATGGTATTAAACTCTGTTGATGAGAGCAATAGTAGTGAAAAGGGAGGAAAAGGGAGGAAAAGGGAAAAACAACTTTTTCTAAGCTTTGATGCTTAAAAAAGTAAAATAAATGAAATAGAAGTAAATGAAATCATGCAGAAAATACTTCAGGGAGAACATGACTTTGAACAATTTCCATTTACTTCCGAACTTTGGTCCTTAGGAACTTGTCTGACTTGGAATTCGAATTTCCACGTCAAAAACACAAAAATATTCTTGTTTGTGCATGCATTTTAATCGAATGTACAAGCATGAACACCCCGTCACAGTCCAAATTTTAATCTAAAAGAAAAAGCAGCATATCAGAACTCCACTAAACAAATAAATACAACTAAACTATATAACCAGTGTTCTACAACCCCCAATATCTAATGCAACAACATATACAATATAACGAGCTTGAAAATTATCCACTATGATTAATATCTATTTATATCTTTTTGATGAGAAAGCCTTATCCAATATAATGAGCTTGAAAATTATCAATTCTTTCCACCTCTCTCTTGAAATGTATGCAGCATTTATTTAGATTCTCCTCCATTAAAGGAAATCAAATTTATACTCAAAACTGTTAGATTCGCCTTCTCGTTCTCCCTTGCATAATAATCTATACTAACATAAAAAAAGGATTTGAGTGTTGAAACTTATAATTCTCTTTTTGCCTCCTCAAATTTTGATAAATTCCAACTATGCCGTTATCTCTAATTATTCTTTTATTAAATAAATATAACCTCTTATTAATTATGCGCATCCTCAGCTTCCTAAATAATTATAATTATCAATAATATTATAACTATTAATTATTTAAATAAAAAACTTATAAAATAAGTATACATGATTATTAGTACTAACCAATTAAATTATTATAATAAATATTTATGAATTATAATAAAATAATTAAAATAATAGTATAATTGAATAATATATTACTAAATACTATTAAGAATTATACTATAATTCAATGAACAATAAAATAAATAGAATAAATTTTGAATCGCATAAATAGTGTAATTATTTTAATAATATCACATAAATTATGAATTACACTATTTATTTAGTATTATATTATTAAAAAATTAAATAAATAATTTAATAGTATTTTTAGAGTATTTTCTCAAAGATTATTACATGATACTGAATAATCTATACTTGGTAACGATTGAAACTAACCTTTTTAAAAAAAAATTCAATATTAATAATAGCACTATTAATTGTTAATAATAGTATAGTAAAAATTTATAAATATTTATAGTACTAAATTATTTAAGAGCATAATTAAAATTTTAAATTAGATAAATATTTGATAGTATATAAACATTATAATTATTTTAATAGGATTACTTGAACTAAGAATTATAATATTAAATAAGATAAATTACGCTAAACCCTAATGAACTTTCAGCCCCCAACATATTTTAGATAAATTACACCAAACCCCCATGAACTAAGAAATTATAGACATTATAACCATGAACTAAGAATTATAGACATTATAACATATAAACATTTTAGATAAATTACACCGAACCCTCAATATCTTTTAGATAAATATTTTATAGTATATAAACACTATAATTATTTTAATAGTATTACTTAAACTGAATATTATAATATTAAATAAGGTAAATTATAGATAACCCCCATGAACGTTTGAAATGACATGAAAGCCCTTATAACTTTTGTAGAAAGCTCTTAATATCTTTTAGGAACATTAGAAAAATGCTAGCAAGATTAATACAACTTAGTTAATTTAGAATGAAGTTAAGAACTTTTAAGTTAGAGGGACATATTCAAAAAAACTTATAGAATTGACAGTTTTATTTAATAACAATTTTAGATTTGAGGACTTATTTAAAAAAAAGATTAACATTGGGCAATCGTTATAAGAAAAATATTCAATTACAATTACTACACAATAATAATTAATCCATACATTTCTTTTTAAAAAATCTTATTATACAGTTTTATTTATTAACACATGGTTTTATTATTCAATAAAAATTTTAAAACTAAAAACATATACGTTCACGTGCAAAGCGCATGCATATACTAGTATATTGAAATCTCTATTCTCTTTGTCCTTACTCCTAACATCTGGCCCTTCATCTTGCCTCTTGTTCTTATCTTTTCTCTATGGGAGCCGCGTCAACACCAACGCTCTCATATCTCATCTTTCCCCCATTTACCATTCTCCTTCTCAAATTATTATTACCATTGTCACCTCCATTTGTTTTTTTAAATTTAATAGGACTGAAACTTTGTTCCTCTGTTCAAAAAGTTCTTCATCTAAAACTAGCAAACACTTAAGAATTATGATTGTCCACAATTTTAGACCATGCAAACCAAATCACTTTCTATTATATTGTTGTCTAAGAGCATCATTTTTTACTTTTCATTTTGATAAGCATATTGTTCGATTGTTATTATTATTGTTATTAGGCTCCTAAGCCTTATTATTTGTAAATGATCTAACAACATCATGCATATTAGTATATTTAGTCCCTCTTATTAAAATAACGCTTTAGTACTCATCTGTTCAACAAATAAAAATTAACTAAGTTCATTTGTTGATTACAGGTATAATGGCCTAAACTGCATTTTTTTGTCACAGGGCTACGAGAGTTGAATGTTCATCTTCCTAGATTTGTGTTAAGTATATCTAACTTACATGCAAATTTTTTTCTCGCTAATATTCAATACTATGCAACAAACCATGTCGGAGATATATAAAGAACACCCAGACAAAGGATGCCAAGATCATAAATCCATTATGGTGCAAGACATCTTAGATTTTTTTATAATAAACTAAACAAGTTTGGAACAATTCTAGAAATAAGGACTTATCATTGAGCATATTTCAAATATCCCTCTCTTACGTGCGCTACTAAATTGCTTTTTTATAGAGATAAGACGTTAACTTGGATTACTGACATCAATTTGATCGAAAAGGCATGAAGCTAAATGTTTCAAACGAGCAAAGTGAACTAGCTTTTTTCTATGATCATTTGTGAAGTTAGGCTCTTGACACCATCTACACTAATTATTGGCTAACGACAAGGCTTAATGAGGAGATATTGGATTTAAATCCTCTTTAATTAGATAGTAATTGGAGAGGGTCCAATTCTTTAAATCTTTAACGTCCATTTCAATTTTAATGGGTGAGATAGTGTCACGTGAGATTTTCACCATCACAAAATAGTGGTTTTTATTGGTGATTTTCAAGACAATGACGGTTTTTAATATATCTGAAAACCTTACGAGGCATCATCTCACCAATTAAAATTGTAATGGATGTAAATGATTAGCGTAATTGGACCCTTTCTAATTACCACCTAAGTAGATAGGATCCAGATCCAAAGATATTTAGATGTTCAATGTAGAAGGTGTTAGTAAAATTATGAATGAATATATATGACATGTATTTGAACGCATTTTAGGATCCATGCTATTTAGATGTGCATTGAAATTATAACTATTTATGCTTTCCTATTGTATAGTTATTCAATGTGTTATTACTTTTTTTTTGACCCAAATTCTTTTTACCTAAAAAATATCTCAAAGTTTCCATTAAATTTAGCAGTAATACTCAGAACTTTGACAAATAGTAACTTTAATACTGTAAAAGTTAACAAAATTAAGTTTTAAGGAATCAAAGCTTAATTTTCTTGAACTCACGGTATGTATTGGGCGAAAAAGCTTTGACGGTATCAAAGTGATTTTTTCAAATTTTGGTATTCTATATGAAAAGGGATGTTGTTTGTACTTAAATCCCAAAGTTTTATTCTTAACTATGATATCCTGAAATTTGTTTTGCAAAAAAAAACATGAAGTTCAAAGAAATTAATTTTGACACATTAAAGTTAAAAAAACTTTAATACCCAAACTTGAACTTAAAAAAATTGTTATAGTTTGGAGGTATTAAAGTCAAATTTTAATCGAGGTATGATCAATGAAAGTAGAATTTGTTGAACTTTGGGTGACAAAAGAATAATTCAGGGATGCTAAAGTTATTTTTCAATTAAAGTTTGGTTATTAAACTTAAATTGTGTTGAACTTTTGGGTAATTTTTGGCAAAAGATAAATGGGGTTATCAAAGTTAAATTTTAAGTACAGTTGGGTATCAAAGTTGAAATTTGTTGAATTTTCGCGTATTTTTTGGCAAAAGAAAACTGTGGGTATGAAAGTTAAAATGAGTTAAACCTAGGGTTATTTTTGGCCAAAAAAATTTTGGGTATCAAAGTTAAAAAAGGAGTAAACTTTGACTATTGGCATGCAAACAACCCAGTAAAAACCTTTGGGTATCAAATTAAAAAATGGGTTAAACTTTATGGCATTTTGGTTGGAAAAAAATACTTTCGGTTGTCAAAGTTAAAACAATGAGTAAATTTTGGGCTATTCAAGTACAATGGGGTATGTTTTCGTTAAAATGAGGTATAATTTGGCCTACTTAAGTTCAAATTGGAGTGAACTTTGGGCTATTTAAATGCAAATAAACCTTAATTAAATTGATACTTTTCCTATAGCTAATTGTTCATATTAATTTCAACTCATAAGGATAATGAGCTTAAATTTGCATAATACAAAATATTATCGTCATGAAAATTTCCCTTTTTTTTGCCCTTCTTTATGACAAGCTTTCATCTTACAAGATTTTTTATGTAGTGTTTTCATATTGACACCATGCTGTTGGTATTTTTTTAACTAAAACTTTCACCAATTTCTACCTCAGTCTTTACATCTAATACATTTAAAAGATTACTTTTTTCCTTCTCTTTGTCATCATAATGTTTTTATTGCTTTTATTATCAAAACTCAGTCCTAAAGTTATCTTTTCGACTTAAAACAGGGAGATCGATCGTTGTCAAAATATAACTCTGACCATGAAGATTAAGAACGGAAGCTAACATTTAAAACATTTAAGTATAATCTAAAATGCTTGGTTTACATTATTCAGAATTTCACTTTTGTTGAAACCATCAGTAAGCCAAATAGTTTTCTCAAGATGTACATATTGGTGTTTTGAATCCGCAGGCTTTGATCAGTTTATCAACATATTGACAAAGGGAGAGCTGAAGTTGGGAGAAGTGTCAATCAATTGTAGTCGCACAATCAGCAACAACAACAAGAATAATGATTGATTAGGAAGGGATGATTCACATGATCGGAGTTTGATTTGAGATTGGAGTTCGAAAGATATACATATATATAATACATACATACATACACACATACATACATACATACATACATACATATAACTACATAGACACATACATATATACTTTTTTTGAAGAATGAAATGAGAGATGTGGATATTTTGATTCTTTTATTTGATCAAATGCTTGCTAAAGAGCTATGTTACCCAGGTACTTCTATAATGAAGCTGTACCCGAACCGGACACGTACACTACACGTACCCGATACTTTTCCATACCCAAACTTTATGGACACTTCTTGAATATATGCATGCATTTATTACAACATGTACTCAATTATACGATATATGTGTTAATTAAAACACTTTTCAAACACTTCTTGGACGTACAGCTTAACTTACACTTCACATCCATATCTTGAAACTAGTTAGATATTGGTCCGGTTCATTTCAGTCCATACCAAAGTTCAAAACTATATAGTTAAAGGGTCGTTTGGATGTCTAGTAAAAAAAATGAGTAGTTTCCAATTTATGATAATAAATATGATAAAAAAACTTAAAAACGTGATCAGAATTTTGATTCTGATGACACATGAAGCGGAAAAAAAGATCTCATGTACATTATTAATTATATATATATGTATATGTGTGTGTGTGTGTGTATGTATATGTGTGTGTGTATAGCTGTGTCCACGTACCCTACATTTTACAGTTTTGTCGTGTCCCGCACCCGCACCCATATAAGCACCCGTACCTGTTTCCATGCAACTTAGGTAAAAAGTAACTTTTGTTTATGTTGTTGGTTGAATTCTTCATTTGATTGATTTGGATAATAGTTATGATTATTACGTGTTTGTTTGTTCTGACAAAAAGGAATCAGAACAATTACTTGTAGTACAAAAAAATTTAAAAAATCATGAAATTTCTAAAATTTTAGAAAAATTATTGCACGGGTTTGAAACTAGTTTTAATCTAAAGGAAAAAGCAGCATGTTAGAACTACAGTGAACATATAAATAAAATTCACCCGTATAACCAGCGTACTACAACCCCAAATATCTAATGCAACAACATATACAATTAATCCACACATTAAAAACTAAAAATTCATGTGCATCATGTCACTCATTTTATTTGACCAATATTTTTAAATAAATGGCAAGAATCTGTTGATACATAGATGGTTAGTTACTTGTCTGAATCATATTTCTGAAAATGAAAACTTGCTTTTATCTTACCCTTAATCCAAAAGTCTCATTCATGATAATGAATGATCATAAGCAGCAATATCAACTATCCAAAGATTTCTAATTGATGCGAACTATTCTTAAAAAATTAGTAAGGTCATATAGAACGTAGTATGTTATCATTCTGCAAATTCTATAAACGCTTTAGATTCTAATTTTCTGAGCTTTTCTCAATCTATCTCTACTTCAACATCTCATCTCGTAAAACCCTTTTTGATATCTTAGATGAATAGGGTTCCCACAGAGATAAAGGAGCGAAATTTATAGATCAAATACAACAATTTTATAGCTACAAGAAGAAATTTACCCAACTAAAGAACCCAAAAAATAAAAAACATAAAGATCTGATACCTGATCATAAGAGCAGTTCCTCGGGAGCCCTAGCCTCCCATAGTGATCAACGCTCGTGATCGCTGCAAAAAATCCCGATTCAATGAGTGAAAGGAAATTAGGGATAAGTACAAAGGATTTGGGAGTAATTACCAACGCCTCGAAGGGCTTTTTGGACATTTTCTACGGAGATCAGAGACGAGGAGGACCGTTTTGGAGTCTCCACGACGGTCTCCTCCTCCGCCGGGGCGGTTTCCTGAGCAGCCTCGGAGGAGCACCGGACTCGAAAGGTAAAATGCTTCGCCGGTAAATGAGAATGAGAGGGAGAGGGGCGGCTGCTCAGGAGGCGAACGGGCGGTGACGCGAACCCTACCGTCGCCATTGGGAAATTTGCTTTATTTTTGACATTTTTTTCATGTTTTTTTTTTGTGAAATATAAAAAACAGATATGAGATCTGTGGAGTCTGTTGAGATAAGGCGGGTTGTAGGGGTAAATTTCGTAAGACCCCCCAAATTTGGGGTGATTTGCACAAAGCCCCTTAAACTGTGAAGAGTTTGAATAGGCGGTTGTGATTAATAATTATAAATCTAGTTTTCATCTTAAGAATCTCTCTAAATCTTTAAGTCAGTCGAAGCCTTGGATGACGACGCTAAACCTCTTTTCGAGCTCGTGCTTCACCTCACGGCGATCGCACCTCGATAGCGCTTCCTATCGCACTCTTGTCCGCATCTTCTCCCTTTGTGGCGGAGGATCCCTAGATTCATCAAACCCTAACCCTAATATCGATGGAAACCCTAACTCAGCAGCAGAAGAGTTCGTGCGTCAGCCGAGCACTAAGAAAGATTCGGTTCCTCGAGAATCAGGCGATGGTAATTGTCAATTGGCTGAAGAATCTGGGGATGGCAAGAGGAGGAATGACGAGGGGGGAGGAATTGAGAAAGGTACGGCATTTGCTAATACCAACTTAGAAATTTATAATGCTGTGAAACAATTTGAGTTCGATGATGACGAATTCGTTGATCTGGACTTGCTTGAAGGTGTCATGAACGATTGTGCAAAACTCTTTGATGCGCCGGAGCAAGACGAGTTTGATGCTTCAGGGAATAAAAAATTTGAGAATTTTGAGAAGACTGCAATTGTTGAAACCCAGGATGGGAGTTTTGGATTTAAGAAACAAGAAAAACTAGGAATAGAACGAGAAAAAGACGTTAGTTCTCAGGAAGTAGAGGATCCTGATGAATGTTTTAATGGGGAAAGTGTTGAGAGAAAGAGGGAAATAGGCGAAGGAACACAACCAGAAGCACGGACCACTGCTGATCCTCTAATCGAATGTTTTGGGGTAAGACACGTTAATGCTGATGAGATCAATGATGAAGATTTCGAGGAAGGCGAAATCCCTAATGATTTTGAGAAGCCTAATGAATCGGTGGACTTGATGCATGAACCTGCACCTTACGAGGATAAGAAGCTAGAAGAGGGGTCAGTATGTGAGGGTTTTGATAAAAATCAAAGTTTGAGTTATACAATGCCTACTTTTTCTGCGCTGAATCTTACTGAGGGGCATTATGATCAGGGGCTTAATGCATTTGGTGATAATAACTGTTTGGAACCTGAACACAAGAAAAGCTTCAGGTATACAGATGATGATGTCAAGCAGAGAGCCGGTGTTCCTGATACATTAGTTTTGTCTACAAACAAGGAAAAAGAAAATCCATCCAGGGCTGAGGTAGTGCTGCAAGTTTTCTTAATTGTATTTTTTTTTTGGCCTCCTCTATTGGAAGAATGTCCTTCCGTTGTTTGATCCTTGCTGTTACATAGCAAGATATTACAAGCTTTATCATTTTATGATGTAGCCTCGGTAGTTGGTCCTATGAGATAATGAGTAATTCACACACACCCACTCCCCTATACATACATATATACCTCTCTATATATACACGCGTGCGCGCACACGCACACACACACACACACATATATACATATACATTTGCATCATTATATGTAGTTTAATAAGGGATAGCACTTTGGATTACTGTGGTTCATGGTTGAACTCCAGTAATGTGTTGATAAGTTTGACTGGAGAAGTAACAACCTGAAGCTGAAGGCAGAGCTTTTTTGGTTGGTAGACAAACTATCAGAGACTGAAGTGTCTTGTGATCATGTCATATTTTCCCTATCTCACCCCATTTTAATCTCTAAAAAACTGGTCATGTTGGTAGCTGATATTCTGGACAAATTAGATTCAAACCAGAGTACTATAGTCTATAGATGTCAGAACAAAGTGATAGGTTCATCATTATGTCTATCAGAAAGTGAGATGCTGCTGCATGCTGACATGAAACTTGCAACTGTCTGAATGTCTAAGGTCACAACATCAACATTTTGGTCATTTCTCTGGTATTTCAGATAACATAAGATGCCTAATTTCTTCTCTTAATAAGTTTATTGAAATGTTGGTGCCCATATAAGTTGAGTTCTATTCATAGAGCAAAGTTATTTTGGATATGGATGTTCACATGACCCTGGTGAAAGATTGTATCTTCTCACATGTTTGGCTTTTTGGATTAGCATTAAGCCTACTTATTTAGCATTTTACCTAAGATAAACTAGATGGGCTTTGCTGGATTAGCATTAAGCCTACTTATTTAGCATTTTACCTAAGATAAACTAGATGGGCTTTGCTGGTATGTGACCCTTATGTAGTTTGGGTTTTATTTAGCATTTTACCTAAGATAAACTAGATGGGCTTTGCTGGTATGTGACCCTTATGTAGTTTGGGTTTTATACATGGCTCAGTCTTCTTTTTGCTTGTGGAAGCCTGCAATGACTAAGATGAAAAGGCTGTATATTTCCACAGTTATATTTTATTTTCTATTATACTTTCACTTTACAGGAGATTCAAACCAAATATAGGGTTGTTTCATTTTCAGTGGGGTTTCTCCTCTTGCATTTAATGCACTTTTCTGGATTTTATTTGTTCTGTCTTTGTCCTCCATGTACTTAACGTTTAGTGATTTTCATCGGCTGCAGGTTGCTGAAGTTCAGTTCAAGAAAAAACGTCCTGTCCTGACTGAGGAAAGAAAAGTTACAAAAAAGGTTCACATTCTTCCTTGTGTTTTCCTAATTATCTTTGCTATATATTCTGCAATTTCTGTTGACTTAAGGCTTGGGATCAATTAACCTTGTACTTGTTTCTGATTATTATGTTTCGTTATAATGCAATTATTTGAAGATTTGAATGTTACTCCTGAGCTTATGTTTGGTTTTGCAGAAATCCAAGAGAAGGAAAAGAGCACAGAAAGAAAGAGAACAAGGTGTCAAGAGATTGAAATTGCTACCAGTAGTGAAACCAAAAGAAGTGAAATATTGCAACTTCTATCTCGCGGGGAGATGCCAGCAGGTTGTTTCTTATTATCTTTTCTGTTTCTTTCCATGATTAGATGGAGTTTAAACCCCGTTGGGGTTACAAACCTGAAAGCTTCATGCTTTGTATATGGATATTTCTTGCCAACCAGAAAGCTCCATGCTTTTTATTTTGATATTTGTTGGAAGTTTCTTTGCATGATGCAAACTTATTTAACAAATGTTTGTTGGGTTTACGAACCTTGGTAAAAGATGTTTAGGGTGCACAAGTTCAATTGATTTGTTGCTATTAGTATTCATTGAATACTGAAAATTTGGCACTTATCTAGCATTTTATGTTGTCATGTCTGTCAATTTTAATTGCACATCATTACAGCTGGTGCACTCATTTGGATCACCAAACCAATTTCATAGTCTATTCTGGGAGATAAGCATAATAATTAACAGTGACAGTCCAATATATCATTCTTTTAGAATTCTCCAGAAAGTTGTCATTGCCCCTGCATTAAGGAGTCAGTAAAATGTTGAAATCAAGACTTCTACTCAAGAGTATTTTTTGGCTTTTTCCCTTGAAATTATAATGCCCTTTGTACCATATGTATATCTGTACCTTCTAAAGAAATTTGCATTATTATATCTCCTATTTTATGAAGAACCACTTCATTAGCAACAGTGTATACATCAATTGCCTTCTGCTTGAAGACAAGACTAGTTGTTACTAACCTTTCACTATGTATTTGGTATTTTATCATCTAAAGCTTGGTGCTTGTCAAATCACGTCTGCGTCTGCCATACCATGGTTTTAACTCTGTCAAACTTTCTTACTGTCATCCTTAGTTAACTGGAATTCTCCAATCATTATTGTTTCTTTTGGCAATGAACTCAATCATAGTCATTATTTCAAAATTAAGAACATATAACCATCTTTTTTTGTCTTGATCATGGAAAGGTGTAACCCTTTAAATTACTATGGGATTATAATACTTGTCTTGTGTCTATGAAATACAAATTTTAGGTTGTATAAACTATAGCAATTGGAATTGAACACTTGCGTTTGAGATACTACCCAGACTTGTAATTCGCATTTATTCTGATGTCTATAATATTTCTCTAGTTTTAAGTGTTTTATTACTAGTAAATATTGAGAACATGATAGTGTGAAGTTGATTGAATCTGTATTCTATTTTGTTGTCAATTTTCTGTGACTAGAAAGCTGGCTTTAGGGTTTAGTTTTGATCCTTTAGCATCTGTTGTTTCAAAGGTCTTATTGAAGTCTGCCCCGAACTACCTATCTCCCTTCCTACATGCATAGGACTGCCTTCCTTTTTCTTTTTGAGGATATTGGTCTCATCTTTGCTCTGGTAGCGATTACAGAATGTTGTTCTGGCTCAAGTGGTGAGATTGGTACACCTCTATGTGCTGCAATCAGAAGTTACTCTTGAGGTCATGCTACAACCACCAATCTTCCTGTGACCACATGTAAATTTTGATATCTTCCATTTATTTCACTAAGCAGGTGGTTTTCTAGGCTCTTGAAGATATAATATCGTAGGAATCTATTGTATCTTCGAAGTTGCATGCATGTTTGAAGTCATGGAGATATACGTGATTAATACACAATCTGGCTTAAGAGTCTTTTATGCACAATAACGAGCATTGCAAGTAGCTCTTAGATTATTTTGCATGAGAGATTAGTGTAATTCCCTATAGCAAAGTTAAGTTGCCTTCCGCTTTCTTTCCAAGACTTCTCCAGAGTCTGGGGCATTTTCCCTAGCTCCCTCGTTGCATGAGTTTAAATTGCATGACGAATAAGATGATTTTCCTTCCGTGTCTTTATCATCATTTAAATGTATGTATCTTTCTTCTGGGAGTCGTCGTACTTGGAATTTCTCACAAATAGTAGATGTTATGTTAGTTTGACAACTAAGTGTAACTCTGGCCAACTCTTACATGGAGCTTCCCACAGTGAATGGCACTCCTATTGTGTTCTGATATGTAAATGCCTGCATAATGATGATGAAAATGAAACTAGGAATGTTTGTCAAAAGTATGCGTGTTGATGACGATTAATATGATGATAAGTCTGGTTTCTTTAAATGTCAAAATAGGTAAGTTGTCCTACAAAGTTGAATGAAGTCCCTTGGTTGTTCTTTGTACGACTTGTTTATCTTCATTCTGTACTTGTGCTTTACCATAGAGCTTATATTATCTGTATTTTGCTTACATTGAAGAAAAATTCTCTTCATTTTAAGTAATTTTGATTTTCGTATGTTTGCCCTGATCTGACTGAAATATATTTTTTTTCTTCTCAGGGAGAAGCGTGCAAATTTTCCCATGATACTACTCCCTTGACAAAATCCCAGGTATGGTATATCATCATAGTTCCACCATGAATTATTTTTGTATGAGGAGGGGTTTTCGAGATATATCCCCTACATTGCTGGTATTTTTAACTTTGCTCCTCATATTATTTTAGTTCTAAATTTACCCCTCAAATTAAACCATCCCTTGATTCATCTCAACTTTCAGATTATCTCCTTGGAGTATTCTATTAAAACAACTAAAATTTTAAAAAATGTCTATTCTATCCTTGATGACATCAATTAAAACTGTTTCAAGTGCTAGAAGCTTATGTTGCTTCTTTCATATTCAAAAGGTTCAGATAAGGCATGCATCATTAGTATCGTGAAATATTAATAAGAAGATGAACTCATCTGTAATATATTTCTTTCATAATTCCCAATTATCCGTCTCTTTCACGGTTTGAATTTTTCAGCAGCATGTAAAATCATGATACTTTTTGTTTACTTGTTCCTAAATGTTATTGACAATTGCAGCCTTGTAAGTACCTGGCAACTGATTCTTGCTTGAAAGGCGATGACTGTCCATTTGACCACGAGCTCTCAAAGTATCCTTGCCATAACTACATGTCCAAAGGCATGTGTATCAGAGGAGAGAGGTGCAATTTTTCACACAAGGTATATGCCGATTCTGCCTGAACCTCCACTTAATAATCTCAATAAGCAAAGCAAAACAAAGAAAGCCAATTTTTTTTTCAAACTACATTTTTCTTAAAAACATCCATTATTCACTTATAAGGAACAATTTTGATTTCAGATGCCGATGACCGAAGGTTCATCTCCAGTATCAGTAAAAGGTAAAGCCGCAGATCCTTCGAGCTTGGTAAGCCAGCCCAAAAGTAGCACAGCTTGGAGCTCACAACTGAATATTAAAAAACTCTCAGCAGGGAACTTGGTGGATAATGCAAAGTTACCTACTCCAATATCTCCTCAATTGATTATGAAAAAACCCTTAACAGAGAACTCGGTAAATAATCTAAAGTTATCGACTACGATATCTCCTCCTCCTCCTGGTATACGATTTGTTTCGTTTGGAAAAGGGCCATCAGAGAGTGGTGGCAATAAGCCGAAGGGCAATTGGCAGCAGCATAAGAAAGAGAAGTTGCTAGCAGCGGCGCATAATATTTTGAGTTCACAGCACAAGTCATTTCCTGCAGCAGCTCAAAGTGGTACGGAAGCAAACACCAATGCTTGTAAAAACAAATCAGATGATGGAAGCCTCCAAACTGAAGTTTCAGAGGCTTCAAAACTTCTTGAGGAGTTTTTGTTTTGTAGTTAGAAATTTATTCGAAAATTAAGAAAATATATTTGAAGGGTTCTGCTCTGAAACGAGTGATAGGCCAAAATACTGTACTTAATCCAAACCAGCCCTTATTGCTTGCGTAAATGTAAAGCTATCCCAAGCTTCTCATATTGCTATTCATTCATTTTCGTGTTCTTTTTCTTTGTTCGTTTTCTCGTTTTCTTTTTTGTTTAGTGTTCAAAGGAATTGATTTAGATTCATCTATACTATCTAGCAAGACTAAGCTTCCTTTGGGTTGCGGAAACACCCTTATAATGGGGAAAAAGGAAGTATGCTCTCACAAAAAAAAAAACTATTAAACTAAATCAGCAGAGATGCCTCCGCTCTAGGAAAAAGAAACAAAAATGTCGTAGAAATTGGAAACAAAAACTAAAGAATCACTCGTTCCCTTGATAATTTGATTACGCGACTCCTCCATGTTTTATGTCATACATGTTGCACGTAACAATAGTTATTTATTTAAAATTTGTAGGTTTGCACGTACATTAAAACTTGTAGGTTTGCAAGTACAAATGCAAGTGCCAAATATTAGAACTTATTTTCTAAATTTTATATTTAAAAAAGGAAAAAAATAGGTAGTCATAAGCTGCATGCTCTGGATGTTCAATTTAAACTAAGTAATAAGGTCAATTTAATTTGTAATTATAAATTTTAATGTTATATTATTTTAGTATTGTTGATGTTATATAATCACAGTTAAACTGATGGTAATTGGGTTGATTAGGGGTTGCTAACTTCTCCGAATATATGGTTTAAAGTTAAGTTGTTCTTCCATGCACGTGTAGCAACTTGTAAGAGGGAAGGGTCTGATTCCCCCGTCGTTCCTCCGACGATCAAATTAGCAAGGCACTTGAGTGAGGGAATATGGCGAACTATAGCAGTTCTTGAGTGCAGTGGAATGAAGAAAAATTACAGAGAAATTGCTTATTTTTGAATTGGGAATAGTTTTTTCTTTTATAGTCATGTAGGAGGGGCATTTTGGTCTCTTTGGGCTGAGTCTGAGATGGTGGCCGAGTCAGCATCGACTTTACAGGTGTTGGCCATGGAGTGGTCACAGAGTGGGCGTGGTCACTTTGGCATTCATGAGATGGGATAGGCATTGTATGAAGCCGGCATGGTCCGACGTGCTATAAATAGTGTCAAGGATGGAGAAATGATGGCGTCTGCCAAGAATTTAATGTGATGTTGACGTGCTGTCAGTAGAGGGTTCAAGGTCGAAGTCGCTTTTTGGCTTGTATCGAGGGGTGTCGAGAAGTACCGCCTGAGTCGGTTCCCGTGAAATGCCGGCTAATTAACTAGTTGAGTAGGCATGTGGCGAGTCGTCTTTGACGAGAGGACCGACAAATACCGCCATTCGAGTCGGCCTAGCAAGATGTCGACTTGACGAGTCGGTTAGATCGGGGCCCTGGCAGTCCTAAGGGTCGAGTTGACTGAATTGGGTATAATGGAGAATAATTGCCTGTTGTTGACAAGGGATCGTAATTTGGCGACTGAAAAACCATAACGATTAAATACTTTGAGGATATTATTTTATGTTTTTGAAAATTTTAATTTTCAAAGATTTATGTTGTAACTGAACATATGCTTTAGTAGCTTTTGTTTATTGTTATATTTGTTAATGTCAGTTATCAAACAGGGGCTTATCTGAGAGTTTGTGGAGTGATTAGGGTCCTCTAACTCCTTCTGATGAATAGTTGTGGGGCTTGCTATTCTTCTCTGCACATGAAAGAGCTCGTAAGAGGACGGAATTGGGTTCTCCGGTTGTTCCTCTGACGATCAAGTCAGTAGATGATCTTGAGTGGAGAAATATAGAATTATCTCGTAGTTAAGTCCAAGAAAAGTAGAGAGAGTTACTTTATGCAGTGTCGCTCCTTTTATAGTGGGTCTGAGGGGCAAGAAGGTAACTTGGGTCGAATCCAGCTCGGTAATTGAGTCGGTAGACATGTGTTACGTGTCGGTTGCTGAAGGAGGTGAATCACCTGATCATTTATCGGGAATGACAATAGGTGCTTGGTGCTGACTAGGTCCGATGAGTCATAAAGAGGCTATGGGGCTAGAGCAATAATGATGTTGTCAGGGTAGTTAATGCGAGAAACAACTTTGTCTTGTTGACTCTTCAGATCTAGGGCCGAGAAACACTGCCTTTTAACTTGATTACGTGAGATGTCGGCAAATGTCGGGCCGGGCCGGGCCAATTCGTATCACGCCTCACTTTTCAAAATATCAGGGAATCGGAACGTGAACAAGCTCGCGACGTATTAGACTGAGAAAATATATACTAGACTTTCTACTCAATCTAATACACTAAGCGTCAAACAATATAAAGCGAAGGCACAGGTCCCCGATCACAGTAGCGAGAATATAATAAACAACTCAGAACAAAATGATACATATCACAAATAAAATATCATCCCAGACATAATATTCGAGTCAACATGTTCTGATACAAAACAATCCAACTGAAATACTGAAAAATATAAAAATACACTGATCAAACAAAAAAGGAAAGTGCTACAAAAGTAAACACGGGCCATCGAACAACTAATGAAAATAACTAAGCTTCGGGTTCTTCTTCTGCTCTGTCTGTAGGGCACTCCTGCTGAGAATACTCTAGCTCTTACCGAACCTGTTCATCATCTAAATCTGACTTACAACCTGAGAGAATAGGAGTACGTCAGCGTGCATGGCACACGGCAATATCTCAAAAGGAAGAATAGAAACGGTCGAACGACCAATACAATAACACATGCAAAAATAATAATGACAATAGAAACGTGCAACTGAAAATCTAACAATCTAGTTGCAATCCACTACTAGAGTATAACAATCAGAAGAATCCATAAATATCCGAGTAACAAGGTCATACAACTAGGTAAAATTAATACTTAAAAATCTACAACACAAGACGTAGTACGTCAAGCGAAATAATCCAAACAAGGAAACCCTCATGTATATACCATATATCTTAAATTGTAGATAATTAAATATTAATCCCGGTCTATGTATGAAAAGAAATATAATTAGTCCACATCTCACCAGAATCCATAATCATCCACGATGATAACCTATATAAGGTGATAATAAAGGAAATTTTTAAATGTAGATATCAAACAAAGCCTACCATAGGACACATAAGTATATTATTCTTATTTTAGATGTTATTTGAATTGGAGAAGAATATTTTTATATATATAATCGGGTCCCCGTAAACCTATCCGGGGGCCACGCCTTCAAGTCAAGTATTGGCCATTTGGCCCATGTATATATAACTCGCGATATTAGGAAAGCGCATGTGCCCGTTTATATACATGTTACATTCTCCGTCCAATTCCCCTTTATAAACCCCTTGTTTGTCAGTTTAATTTAAGTGATCATACATGAAATATTGTGTACTAGCCACGAAGTTACCGTGGAACTTCTGTAAAATTATGAAAATAACCGTGACTCATAACACGTCCAATCAAGAGTGTATCGTCTAGTTAATGCTATAATAGTAATAGTCAAGGAAACCTCATACCAGGATATCGATATCAAGGGAACTCGAAACTCCTCACATCGGAATATCGATGTCGAGTGAGTATAGTCATGCTTTGAAGCACACTTATAAAATCATACTTTTAACAGGAGTCGTCTTCATGTATGTTGGCCTTCTTGTTTTGATGGTGATTTAGCAAACAATTTACATCTAATGTTGTTTGTCTAGTATTTGTGTTTTTATATTTATTCTAGGCAAACAACATGTTGGAGGATGGATGGAATAGAGCTTCAACGATGATATCCAATGGAAGTTGGCGGAATAGTGGTTGAAGCCTATGCAATTCAAGTTGAAGATCCAAGTTCAAGCTTCATCCGCAGAGTGTACCAAGTCAAGCTTATTGAAGATCAAGATTGCTTGGGTAAATTAGTTTAGGGCTTATATTATGTGTGTTAATACTTCAAGCTCAATATCACACACACACGTTTAGTTTGGTTTATCGTCGTTTTGGATTATAAACTTAACGATATTATTTTATATCTTTTATCAAGTTTATAAATCTATTGGAAAGTTTTTAAAACTTTGTTTAAACTCATTTTGTCAAGATCAAGCTTTTACAAGTGCATACTTATGTGATTTTGCAAAATAATGAGATTCCATAATTGGGAAATGTAAATTGGAAAATTCTTTTTTGTAACATGTTCAAAATCACATTTGCAAACATTTCCCAAAGTTTCATCAAGTTTGAAATTGATTTGTTATGTTTAATGGAATTTACAAAATCATGTTTTTGTTCGTGCACATGTTCGTGCATGTTTTACAAAACAGATGAGTTTTTATAAATGAGAAGTGGTATTCAAGAAATTATTTCTTTTAAATGTTTATCTACATGTTTAGAAACTTTCATAAAAATTTTACCATTTTTGGAGTTGATTTACTGTGCCCAATTGATTTTACAAAATCGTGTATGTTAGCAGATTTTTAGAAACTGTATATCTGTGTTCAAACATTTATTTCTCTCAAATGAGAAATGATTTTTCAGAAATTCTTTCTCTAACATATTCTTCTACATGTTTATAACATTTACTCAAATTTTCATAATTTTTAGAATGATTTACTATTTTTAATTGATTTTACAAAACCAGATACGTAAATTTCTAGAATGCTGAATTTAGGGGTATTTTGGTCTTTTCAGCCTATAACGGCTAGTTTTTGATATTTTCGGTTTTTGGGAGTTTGTGGCTGGTTTAAGAGGCTATAAAAAACCCTCAACTTTCATTGTTTCTTATGAATGTTTGAGAGAGTTTTAAAAAGAGTTTTACAAGTTTGTTGAAGGGTTTTTAAGTTTGTTTCAAGAGTTTGTTTGTGAAGAAAATTCCACAAGAGCTTGAGGAGATCATCTATTGAAGTTTGAGCTTCCAACTATTCTCCCTCCACCTCTTGATCTATTGAGAAGTTTTCTAAACTCTTATCTAGCTTTACATTTGCTTAGTTATTTGATTATCTTTCTTTAAAGCTAGTTTTTATATTGAGTTTAGATTTGATTATATTATCTCATTGTTACACACACCCACATTGAGCTTATCGTATTTACATATATATTATAATTGGGGTTGTGAGAGATTGTAACATTGAGTCGAGCTTA